ACACGAGTCCCGACTCCTGACTTCCTCAACGTTCAATTTGCGTACTTAAATTCATTTCACTTTAATTACGAAGGTTTCCCGTTTAATATTTTATGCTCCGCTCGCAGCTCTTCGCTTCTGCCTGCCGATTTCCCTCCGATTTTCCCCCGATTTGTCGCATTTTCCGCCCGCCACGTTGGGCACGTTGTCCAGGACCACCGCTTCATCTGCTTAATGTCAGTTATTTTCATTACCCCCCAGTCGACCAGGACATCGACATCTTCTTTGCGCGTTGTCAGGCTGTCGGGTGGTCGGCTCCTTTTTTTATTATATTATTTCGCAAGGATGTTCTCGCATTTCGTCCCCTGTTTTTGGGTAGGTAAATATTTCGACTATAAACCGTATTAAGGTATTCATAAATTGCCTGCTGCTTAACCCCAGCAAATATTGGACATCCAATTTGGTAATTCGGGGCGGAAAATTGAGAAGCCAGCGAAGGGCCTATTGGAAAATTCGTTAACGGATCGGATGGCATAAAAATGTCTCGCAGCGAAGTAAGCTGCGATGTTTATGAGCGCAGCAACAAGCCAAGATCCCCAAATTGGGATTGCTTAGGGGAGGATTTCTGGGGGGATGGCACACGCATCATTATGGAGCCAAAGTGTCGCGCACGAGATGCTCATCAAATACCAGCGAAAACGGTGTAAACTGCCTCATTGAAGCCCCGAAGCCCCAAAATCCCACTCACCTGACGGTTTTTCCGGTTTTCCCTGTTTCCCGAGGAAAAACAGGATACAACAACAGTGATGGGGCAAAACTGTGATTGAGCCCTGAAACTGGAATTAGTTTATAATTGCTGCCGTAGAACTCGCAATTCGCATTTCGCCCTTGTGGTTAATTGGTACTCTTGTGTGCTCAGGGTTTCCATCCAACAACTATTAAGCTCCGGTTTAGTGAGGCTCCTTTCCCCAGCCACTGAAGCAAAAGAATCGAAGTACGGGGAGTTATAATCTCATAAGCTCCTTAGCCTGCGCTTTTCTTACACGCCGGGGATAACCAGAGAAGGCGGACCTGGGGGATAGGGTAAGAAAAAACAGAAAGGCTGGGTGTCTAAACAAAACAAGAAGTTTTGGTATTGGAATTTCAACTGAAAAACAAAAAACGTAATATATGATGTCCCAATTAAAATGGTTTTCCTCCTAGAAATAATCTATATCAATCAAGAACATATCATATTGTGTCATCATTGTTTCACAAGACAGCATATAATAGTTAAGCCTTGCTTTCTAGTATTTCAGTATTAGATTAACAACAAATTGAGTTTTTAATCCTAAACACTGGTTCAGTAAAATATTCCTGCTCCCTCGAATAGCAGATAGCTGTGATTGAATCACTGACTGCGACTGTTCACGCATCACCAACGTGGTGACATTCCCCGCAGCATTGGGCGACTATTTGGGTGCGTTCCCGGGCCAGGGAGCCGGAGTCGAAACGGATTCGTCGAAGGAGATGGAGGCAGTTGGCCTCGACAACAGCGAAACCCACAGACAAGTCAGGAACATCAAGAGCACTGAAAAAAAATATTGGAATAGTTACAGAATACATTTTTTTAAGTTGATTGAATAGCCTAAAAAACATAATAAGATGATAATACTTGATTCCCTAGTAAGAAACATAATTTAACGCGATACTTACATGGTTATATTCCTTAAGTGCTCAACCAACAGAGAACGCGAATTCTTCAGCATATATTCCTAAGGCTTTGGAACAGCTTAAAAAATATAATAAGATGATAGTACTTGATTACCTAGTAAAAAACATAGTTAAACGTGATATTTACATTGTATTATTCCCTAAGTTACCATGTAACAGATTACGCGAATTCTTCAGCAAATTTTTTTGTGAGTGTATCGATAGCGTACGATGACGACGACGACAGCGCAATTGGTTTTTTGGGAGACAACAAAGAAAGCGAACCACGATTGGGTGGAGTTGGGGGAGAGCGTCGAAAGGGGCTCCAATGTCAGGGGGTGGGGGTTGGCCCTAGTGGGGGTGGGGGTTCCACGAGGCTGCCAAAGACGTGCGTGGCTGAGATTTGTTTGGCTCTCATCCGCGCACTTCCTGCGCTTTGCTAACTTTTTGCTCTCCCTGCTAATGTCCTGTCTTTCGGGTGTGGGGCTGTGAGTCCTTCTGTGGGCAAGTGTGTGTGCGTGTTTTACAACCACAACCTGTGGGGCGGGTGGAAAAAAAACCAGGGGGAAGGGGCGCACAAAAAAGGAATGAAAGGAGCAGAGGCCGGGCCAAATCGTTGCCTTTTTTATGTGACCATTTCCATTGCGACTGGCACTGCGTTCGTGTTCATTAACGTTGCTATTACATTTTAACACACCGAATCGGAATGTGTCCTGGCAACGTCCTTGCCACGCCCCCCGCCCTCCGCCTCCGCCCTCGTTAGCTTTTACTTTCAGTTGTTTTGTTTGCTGTTGCTTCTGTTGTGAGAATGTTGAAATATCCTGTTTAACTTTATTTCATTTTTCCACAGCATCCTACACGTGGCCACCCACCCGCTTACCACCCACTTCCGGTGTGTGTGTGTGTGCCTTAGTTGGCATGCATAAATTTTTACGTTTGTTGTTGTCTTATCAGATCATTTATTTGCGCAGGGAAGGCCCCATTTCCCGGTTTTCCTACCCTCTGCACTCGCATTACTCGTGTTATTTGCATGTTGTAGAAAAATATCAATTTGCGTACCTCCGACGTCGATGGTAGACGGTCGGTCGTTTAACATTTTCCGCTATTTACAGGTCCTTTGTCCTTTTTCCTTTGGAACCCGCCTTAATTTGCCGGAGACACAGAGGCCCACAGACCCACAGACCCAGTTGTGTGCGAGATATGCGAGTGTATCTTGAATGTTGTGCAAATGTTTTCCTTTTCCATTCGCTCCCGCTCTTCCCATTTCGCCCATTTGAATATGAATTTATATCAATGTGTCTGGGCCACGCTGCGTATACGCAATTTATATAATTCGTGGCGCTATTTGCATAACTATATTGTCCAGGGCGCCTCGCGTGATAATGTAAATTTCCCGGCCACTTCGTTTCTATTTGGCCCTGAATTTATCACTTGGCCCCTGGACTTAGCCATTAGTGGAGAGCAAAAAGAAGAGATGAAGTCCAAGCAAATAAGGTGAAATGCAGCTCAGACTTATGCCCACGAGTCACGTAACTTCCTGTCGGCGCCACAGTCGCCTTGGTTACAAGCCAGCTGTAGTGGATAGTGGATCCTGGATGGCCGGCTCTAAGCTGACTTCGAGTTATGAGCCACCAAGTGGAGGAAGACACTTCGCTGTGGATTCATAAATTTAATGCTTAGCAGCAGTTCACCTCCACCCATAGCCATCGCACATCCACTGACCACCCAGCCCGCCAATAACTTTCCTGATAATATCTGGGAATCACCCAGCAGCACTCGCTCTTTATCCCCATCCATTGCTTTCTCTTTCGATGCTACACTGCGAGAAAGTATCAGCAATTGGGGCACGCTTATATCACCAAATTCGAAAGATGTTTTTCAGAAACTGAAGAAATTATTTGTTTGATGCTAAAAAAAATATATTATATATTTTTTTATCACACTAGATTACAATATTCGTAAAAAGAAATCTGGAATTTTAAGATTCAAGCAGAAATTTCCACAATTACCGCGAATTCTTGAGCATTTCTCACTGTGTCGGTTTGTCGTTAGCACATTTCATGTTGCATACTTTTATGTGTTACAGATTTTTCGGCGCGAACGCGGCTCTAATGAGCAGGAGCAGCAGCAGCGGCAGCAACTATAACCACATCATCAACTTTTGGCCCAACTATGTGTCGTATACGTAATATGTGTGAATAGCAGAGCAGGGCGAATAAGAAGTGTAGTGAGTGTAGGGAGGGGTTGGGGTTGGGGTCGAGGTCTGGAAAAGTTGTGGCAGTGGCCAAAGCACTCACCCACATTTGCGCACACTATTTTTTATGGTTGGTTAACTAAATTTACTTTACTGCCTCCCAAAGAGCCGGGGAAACTAGAGAAAGGCAGAACGATATATATAGACCCAGGCAATATAGCTGCAATATTGAAAACTGATCAACCTGATTGAATTGCCAGCCACTGAAATAGAAACTAATGAATCGCCCGAGACTTGGGTGGCCCCAAAAACTAAACGTACATACTATACATATGTAAAATAAAACCAATTTCTTGGGTAAGCCCGGCAGTCAATATCAACTTCCAGAGGTTGCGTATACGCAGCGTTGATTGGGCGGGTATTCGGATGCGATTACGAATACATAAATTCATTAATAATGCCCTCGCACATTATGCTCTTCGTCCCAGACGAGCTTTAAAGTGCGTTATATCCCAGTGCTCACTGCTGCCAGACATCCGGCCAAAGAAAGCCCGGCTCAGCGGGCTCAGTGGAGTACAGTAAGTACTCCTGACAGCCTCAAAGGGCTAAGGAATCGAATCATTGAGCCGAATCATTGAACAGTGATGTCACCTTGTCATTTACTCAAAGAGATTTGGCCTTTTTAAGTGGTCTTAACTTAATGGAAGGTGTTGGCATGACCGGTTCACTAGTGAAAAAGGTTTTAACAGTTTAAATTAGGTTGAAATTATACAAATAAAAAAGTATTTTTCATACCACAAATTCTGGAATGGTTTTTATATCGCTAAAAAAAGTGTCAAAAAGTTTGCAATAATAAAATTGTCTTTCGGAAAGGTTCCGAAGTATATTTTTGCATACTTTTGACACCTTTTGTGATAAGCACCCTATATTTATTTGTCTCTTTATAAATCGCTAGGTCCAGAAATTAAATATTAATATTAAAAAAATTAACAAATGTGTGTAAAAGTATGCATTACAAAAGTTGACTTTTCATTTATCGTTCCATACTTTACGACACCTTTTTTAAATGATTTATACTATACTTATACGTCTCCTTATAAATATTAACCTTTTCATGTGGGTCCTTTTCTTACAGATTCTGGCGCACTTCTTGTTTATTTGAGTCATCACTGCCATCGAACACTGTAAGTAAGCCATGATTTCACTGTAGAACATACTTATTTATTTATGTGCGAATGATTGTGTGTGTGCAGCACCCACATAAGCTGCCAAGTATTTACTGAGGATATTTAGCAAACATTTACTGTCGCCAAATATTGCGAGTAAGGCGAAGTGGGAAGGACAGACGGAGTGACACGGAGATGGCATTGGGTAGTCGCCTATCTTTCCTTATCGATATTTGCGAAATAATAAAAAAAGTGGCAGGCCGCATACAACCAGAATTCGACGGAGGAACAGGCTCAGTTGTCATGCTGGTTCCTCCCTATGAAGGAATATAAATATATATAGGGGGAGAGGATACCCATTCCCATTCCCATTCCCAAACCCCCAGCTCAACAGCTCAATCTGCTACGATTTTGAATGGAGCTGGTACCCAGTGGGTCCCAGATGGGACGCAGAGTCATGAAAAATTACACAGGGCATTTTGTTCGCCGTTCGCCTGTCGCCTCTCGGCTCTTGAGATATTCCAATTTTTGAAGTGTCAAAAATATCCGCTTATATATAGAAATACATACGGACATTTATGGTACATACACATGAATATGTAAGCAGATAATGGCAGCTTTTGGCCCCCGTTTCTTTCTTTGGAGTTGAGTTTGAAGTGAGTTGAGTTGGCCAAAACAAGAAAAGAACCAAAGAAATTGATAATTCCTTGGCGCAAAACTTTGTGGCGGCCAAACAGAAGACAGCTGAAAAAAAGTAAAAGAAAGGGGGAGAAGAAAGTTCAAATCAACATATTGATTTTTGTGCGAAAAGGGGCGTGTCGCCGCCCACGACCGCAACTACCCACGAGATACGAGTACACAATGCCGACGCTGACGTGTGTATCTTGTATCTTTCGCTGCTCCTACAGCTTTTACTGGTTTTTCTGCTTCTGTTTCTGCTGCTCGGAGTTGTAAATGTTTGCCAACTGGTGGACAGGGCATTTGCTTGTTCACAACTTTTATTTATTTATGGTTTGATATTTATTTATTTCCCTTCCGCATTTATTTTGCAAAAGATTTTGTCTAGATACGAGTGCTTTCCTGGCTGGTCTTAATGGCTTTTGCGTACGAATTTTCCCTTCGTTTTTTTAACTTTATTAAATTTACTGCACAGCAATCAGTTCCAGTTGAAACCTTTTGCCTTAAATTTCAGGAACTGACCATTGTTCACTATTCTTATTTATTTCTTTTTGGATTTCTATCCATTTCTGGGTATATTTCTTTGGCAGGAATTCGCTTTTGATATATCTCAAGTTGCCTTTAATTTGTTGTATGCAAAAATTCAATTTGGTTCGCTGGCTTCTGTCTTTTATTAGGTTTATTAAGTTTGCCTATATCCACCTTGGCTGACCCATATCAGAAGTTTTGCTTCATTGTGATTTCTATTGGCAAACTTTGGCCTATATTCATTTATTAACTCTGCTTTTAATTGGCACACAATTTAAAAGCCAGTTGTGTGATTTAAACAACATTTTCCCCGACTGAATTTGTTTAAGATGCAGTTAGAACTACACAGAAATTGACAAAAGATCAGATTGATATGTGCTGGTCAATTTTATATTTGTTATAGACGAAGTTATTTATAAAATTTTGATATGAGTAAAATACTACAAATAATAAATGATAAATGATAAAATATCAAGTTGATATGTTTGAATCATAAATTTGACATTAATCATATCATCTTTTCATCAAGGTAGAATTTACCCTATTTCATATCTAATATTTTTTTTTGTAAGCAATTGGGTGTTACTAAAAATATCTAGAGGAAGATGGTAGCCAGTAATGAAAGGGAACTGTTTTTCTTCCCCGTTTTATTAAATTTGTTTAAATCTTTCCAGACTGGCCTGACCTGACCTACATCAAAATCGGTTCCCATTTCATGGACCTGCAAAATGTTGCAAATTTGTTAACCCTTTCGGGTTTTGCTGCCTTTGATTTGCTCCGTTCAACTTTTGCCAACTGTATAAAGTTTCAATTTGTTTGTCCTTTTGCCAGTTTCAGTTTTCTGTGTTCTGTTTTCTGTGCTTTCTGCTTTGCTTTGGCTTGCTTTTCCGTTCTCTGCTTTGGCGCATCCCTGCACATGCCACACTTCTCTGTTCTTCTTTCTCCACCCCTTGCCTCCCCCGAAAATGGCAATTTAACAATGAAAAATTAAAAGAAAATTCAAAGTTTCTCTTTCTCTGCAAAAGAGGCTTATATCCCGTATCGTTTCGGATCGGGTCTACCTAAGTAATTACAGTTGAATGGTGGCTACAAACAAAGGGAAAGCGGGAGTAGAAGAGAGGAGAAATAAATGGTGTGTGCAAAGGAGATAGAAACGTTTGGTGTTTTTCCGTTTTTATGCCGGAAAAAGGGTTTTCCTGCAAATATTTAACAGCGAGCCCCATTTGTCATTGGAATTTTTCGCTCCTTTTTTGCGGGAGGGGAATGTTTTTTCTGGGCGGAGTGTGCTGTGTTTCGGACACTGTGATGTTTAATTAATTAGAGCGCTCTTAAATATTGCATGGCAAATTGCTGGATAGTTTGATTCGCTGGATAATTCAATTTATGGGCGGAATTTAGAAACGTTTTGCATAACAATGCGCATTTGCATGCCCCAATAAGTAGGCAACATAAATAATTTTTCACTTTGCCCACTCACACATGTGCGCGGGCCCAGTGAAAGCTCTCTTAAAATATCATTAGCATACACACACACACACAGACCCACATCTGAGACCTGACCTCCGACCCTAAACGCCCAGCCCCCCACTCCACCCCGCGTTTGACAAGATTTAAAGCATTTTTCATGTTGCCTTTTGCCACTTTGCTTTCGCTTATGTCAACTGGGTATGGCTAACAAATACATACATAAATCCACCCGAGGGTTTCCCTCAGTTTCCCTCAGTAGTAACATGGAAATTTGCTCGTTTTCCTTCTGGTTTTCCCGAACCACCCAACCATCTAACCCACCACCCACCGTTTTAACCGTTGCACGCATCTTTTATGTGTGTTTTGTTGCTGCTGCAAAATTTACAACGGAACCAAAAAGTTATGAAACTCATTAAAACACGAAACTAATTCAAACACCCCGGGCCTAATTGCCAACTCCAGCCTAAGCCGAAAGCAAATGGAGGGGCAGCAGGAGGATCAGGAGGAGTAGGAGGTCCTTCGTCTCGGTCTGCTGCCTGAACGATTCGCTGGCGAATCCAAAAAATTATTTTGCGTTAATTTCCATAGAAAAATGTGCGCGTCAACAGAAATTAAGTGTCCCAGCTAATTTAACACAGCGCTGGGTCAGCGCTCTCGCTTCCTCGCTTGTCTCTTTCCTTTTCCCGCTCTCTCTAAAGCGATTTGCACTGAAAGAAAATGTAAATTATTGCGGGTTTCTCGAAGAGGCGTGGAAAAAATATTACATTAATCAATAAAATTTTTATAATTTTAATATTTTCAAATTTAAATAAAAATTTTGTATAGGTGTCTAAAATAGTGCAATGAAAAAGAAATAGTTTGTTTTCCGATTTTGAGTGGTGGTGATTTAGTCTAAACCTCTTGTAGTTATTTCGCAGTTCTTTAAATAAAAATATATAAAACAATTGAATGTTTATAAGTTTAATATTTTGTAATTTAAATAAAAATGTTGTAAAGGTGTCTAAAAGTATGCAATGAATTTCCAATGACGGTGATTTGTAATTCCAAACCTCTTGCAAATATTTATCCCTGTTCTTGAGTTTGAAGTATCCAGCATTCACATAACAGATTTCTCTCAGTGTATTCGCCTGCTTTTTGGTCCTGCAGCGCACCGCAGCTGGTGGGCCGCAGATGCCTGCGACGCGTTAGAATACTTACAATTTTAATTTGAATAATTTTGCAGGCTCTAAACGTAAATTACCCTCGCATTATTTTTTTTCGCCGTTGCCCTGGCTTATTATTTTTTTCCCCCATTACTTTTCGCCCGCTGACACTCCATCGCCTCAGTCCTCAGTGCTCAGTCCTCCGACTTTCGTGCTATATAGCTGCTATAGCTTATTTTTTGTGCATAAGCATTTTGAAAGATTAAACTTGGCGCACTTGAATGTTATTACACGTACCACGAGCCAGCGCCAACACTTTCATTTATTATTATTTTTTTATGCCCCAGCCCGAACCCGAACCAGAAACCTAAAAAAAAGAGCCCTAACCCCGGCCCAATTGTCGCCCCCATCCATTTCCACCCGCTGGAAATTTCCCCACCCATCAGCCAGCCATACAGAAAAATCACACATCGTTAGCTCAGCAGTTTTTTCCCTTTTGGTGTTTCCTTTTTTGTGCTTTTCATTTTTTTTCCACTTTTTCCACCCAGCACGCTTTTCCAGCATGCGTCTGTGCCCTTGTCCCAGTGGCAGTGAGGAGGCTGTGTGGCTAGGAAACTCGCATCTCGGAAACTCGGGTCCCATAACGCGGCATTTATTTTGCGCTCCTCCTGTAGAATTGTGCTTCCATAAAAATTGCTTTGCTTGCTTCTGAGTTCAGTCACTCAGTTCGACCCTGGAAGTCCTTGCTCTCAGCATCTCAGCCAGAAGATGCTGCATAGACGAAGGAGTCCTGTCCTGTCCTCTCGGATCCCGTCTGTCCCTGGCCAAATGTCCCGACCCGTTTGAGTTTTGTGGAAACATTCGAGCAAGCAACTCTATACATTCGCATAGACACACAATCTGGAGGCCAGCATTAGCTGAAAAAACATGGGTCATACCATAAAATGCCCTTCCAGAAAGTCCAAAGATGGATGTAAAAGGTTTTTATTTCGATATTTTGAAATAAATATTAAAATAATAAGCAACGTCATTATAGTATGTAATGTTGCAATACTTATATCATTCATCAAAATTCATTATCTCATCTTTTTCACTGAAAAATTTACAGTATAACTTTGGAATTTATTCATCATAAACTTTCACCATTCATAATAACAATAGAAAAACGGAAAAGGAAGTAGCTACATTTATTTGCCTTTAGCA